GATTTACTACATTTGATGCAACATAGAAACAAAATAATTTAAAGAATGCTGCAAAACATGATGAATCCCCATAATATAAAATAATAACCAAACTGAGAAACTCAGAAAAGAAGTTGTATCAAGAAACAGAAGAATTACGCTACGTTGCTGAACTTTCCAAGCAAAAAGTTCCGAGTACACAATCTACAGATAATGTCAAAAAATAATATCTAGAATCAGAATTTATCCTGCCTTTCTAGTACTTATTGAAGCACTGTGTTGCCGAAAGGCTCTACATGGGTCAGTTTCAGGAACTACACAACTACTAAGCAGAGACAGAAGATCACAGCCGTTTTATAATGCCTGATGCTTTCGCAGGTATTGTTCTTTTCAGGTGACAGAACCACAAATGCTAGAGCAAGTATGATGCAAAAATATAGAGGCAAGCGGATTGCCAGCGCTGTACTGCAGCCTACCCATCAAAAGAAATTAAAACTGAATTTGATGAAAACTACGCCAGTCTTCACTAATTTACAAGGCCTTATAGAGATCAGAGAAACGTCAAGTAACACCTCAACCTCAAGAGCAGAGCAAATCTCGACAAGACACACAAACTCATTTAAAGTAAGTTTTTTAAAAACGTGCAAGACTATCGTCTAATCGCGGTTTTGTTAAAACTGCATTTGGAATCTGATTCGAGCAATCTTTTAAAACTAAAAGAAGAAGGAAGGAGAGGCAAGAAGGAGGACGGGACAAGAAGAGAGGTCATGGAAGAGAACCGGCGTTGCTCCGTGCAAGAAATCCTTCGCGCTGTGGGAAGACCTGGCACTGGGCAGCGAGCGGACCTGCAGGATGCGCTCAGCACTCCCACACCTCGGTGGAGGGCCTCTTCCGCGGGGCTGAGGATCTGCTGGGACCGCGTCTCCCAGGTGAGGTCACAGCCTGAAAGATGCGTCGTGGAGGACGGGATCTTGGCGGGTGGAAGCCAGGAGGTAGACAGCCAGAGGGCAGGGAGAGGTCCCCGAGGGGGCCTGAGCGCAAGTCTGTTCCTAAACCCCAGCGCTCACCAGGACTGCGCTTCCCCGTCGCTGCCCTCGCACACCCACCTGCCCTGGCCTCCCGGGGCGCCGGTCCTGGCTCAGCTGCCTCCTCGGGGCTCCCCGGGCCCAGGTCCTCGCGCCCCGACGCCCGGGCCACCTCCGGAACCTCTCCCCTCAGGTGCACAGGTAACCTCCAACCGCTTGGGGAAAGCGGTCTCCGGCCCCGCCCTCGCCGGAGGCTCCCACATCCCTGAAGCGCACCCTCAGCCCAGACCTGATGTCAACTATACTGACCTGATGCGTCTAAAGGGCCGCTGAGCGCGCGCCCCAGCCTGGGAAAGCGGGGAGCCAGGACCCAGCGCACGCTCCAGGCGCAGCCCCGAGTCCCTTGGGGCCCAGAACAGTGTGCACTGGACGCGCCTAGCCACCCCACCCGGTTTTTATGGCGAGGGCTCGGTTTCGTTTTCCTTTCTGCTCTAGCCTTTAGTTTCAGTTTCCTTTGTTGTTGTTGTTGTTGTCACCCCACCCGGTTTTTATGGCGAGGGCTCGGTTTCGTTTTCCTTTCTGCTCTAGCCTTTAGTTTCAGTTTCCTTTGTTGTTGTTGTTGTTGTTGTTGTTTTGTTTTGGCAGAACCGGGGATTGAATTTAGGTTCTTGCGCTTGCCAGGGAAGCCTTTATTCCACTGAGCCATTTTCCTGGCCCAAAATGGAATTAGGATTTTTTTGTTTTTCTCCTAATGCCTTCAGGGCAGGTTTGGCTGGCTTGAACCACAGCAACCTGAGCCTGACTGCTTTGTTGAAGTAACCTCTTAAAGAACTGAGCTAAGAGGCAGGGCCCCTAGTTTTGGTTTCCTTTCTTCCTATCTTCTTCAGGAACTGGATAAGAGGGATGGGGTGCAGGAGCGCGAAGTGGCTTTGGGAATCTTACTCTTCAGTTGAGAATTTTAAGATAGAAAGCATAGAGGCAATAGTTACTGCAGTACTTACAAATTAATCCAGAGAGAGTGAGGCAGAGAAGTCTGGGGGCACCTGTGAAGGTGTCTGACCACTCCCATCCTGATCAGAGAAGCTTCTAAACACTCCCCCTCCCCCCTTCCCTCTCCCCCCTCCCCCAGCCACATTTGGGCTCCCAAACTATCAGCTGTGCTGTGCTCTTGGTAGTGGCCTTTCCCTCCACTTCCGCAGGCCCGGTCCTTGGACAATGGTCACCGCTTGTGTTCCCTCAAGGTTTGTCCTTGGCAGGGAGACATTACGCCTCTCACTTAATCTCCCCTCCCAGTGATTGAGACCGGGCATGGTGCCCCCCACAATCCCAGCACTTGAGTAGCTGAAAACAAGAGATTAACTGTTAGTTACAAAGTGAGACCCTGTAGACCCTGTACTAAATACATTTTAAAAAGAGAAACAGAGAGAGCTGCTGGCCTAGTCTCCCGTTCCAGACAGGTTCCTCTCAGCATTTTTTCTGAAATAAACCTGTCTTCTATATCTGCGCGCGTGTGTGTATGTGTGTGCATGTACATCTGTTGTATTTTATCAGTATTTTAGATATACATACTAATAGCATTCATCGTGGGGAATTTCCTTCTGGAATAACATTTCCTTCTGGAATGAAATGGAATCTCAGTGTTGTTCCTGTTATTGTTGTTTTAAATTTTATTATTTATTTATTTGTGTGTGTGTGTGTGCCAGCTCAGCCCACCAGGGGGGCGGGGCTGGCTGGCATGTGGTGCTGGGGGATTGAACCATGGTCCCTGTGCTTTGCTAAACTTGTTCTAAGTAGGTGCTTTAGACCACTGAGCCATCTCACCAGCCCTCAGGGTTGTTTTAATTAGTATCTCTTGGATGACCACTGAGGTTGAACATTTTTTTCATTCTTTTTTTTTCATAA